AGGACGGGGCAGCAGTGGTTCCATTGGCAGCGGCGGCAGCAGCAGCAGCGTTGGTGGGGAGAGGGGGGCCGCCAGGGTTGGGCTGAGCCCCGTGCTGTGGTGGGGGGGAGAGAACGGAACAGAGAGTAAGGAATTCAATCAAGCAGGTTAGGAAGGCTGGCGTCGGCACTGGCGTGGATGAGGAGGGCAATGATGAGAGGCGTGGTGTTGGTCGGTCACACAGGGGAGAGGGGAGGATGGGGCAGCAGCAGCACCATTGGTACTACTAGCTGCTACAGCAGCAGCATTGGTGGGGAGAGTGGGGGCGCCTGGGTTGGGCTGGGCGTTTTTGAGAATTCTCAAAAACTCCCTGCAAGAGTGGGGGCGCCTGGGTTGGGCTGGGCCCTGTGCTGTGGTGATGGGGGAAGGGATCAGGGGACTGACTTTGAAACACCGTGCACCTCAAACTGCGTACATGAACCCTGAACGTCAAACCCAACCTCAAACCCTGAACGTCAAACCCAACCTCAAACCCTGAACCTAAAACCCTGAACCTCAAACCCTGAACCTCAAACCCTGAACCTCAAACCCTGAACCTTAAACCCTGAACCTCAAACCCTGAACAAAATGCCCTGTACGTACCTTGAGCAGCAGTTTCACAATCTCTGTCTCCCCGGCAGCAGTGGCGGTGAGCAGCGAGTTCACGCCATCCTCGCTGGGCGTGTCTGGATTGGCTCCCCTCGTTAGAAGCACACCCGCTGCAGCCACCTTGCCGTGTCCGCACGCCCACAGCAGCGGAGGCCCGGCGTCGCTCTGAGCGTTAGGGTCGGCGCCGTGGTCCAATAGGAGTTCGAGAATCTTCACCGAACCTGTGAGGGATTATGAGGTTGTCCGAGAGGATTCGAGTCGGCATTGTTGGCCAGTCAGAGCAAGGACTATCATCGCGCATGAAGAAGCAAAAGAAAAGAAAAATACAAATCATGAATATCAATTACTTATGAAGCTTTTTATTTGCCTGTGCTTCTAAAGGATGTGACTACAAGAGTTGGTTTTCAACCCACCATGCCCCGCTGCGTGATGTATCGCCTGCGCGCCCGACTTCTCCGCTGACGTGGCAGCAGCCGCCCCGTGCTCAACCAGCCACGTGGCAGCCTCTGAGTGGTCGTCCCTCGCTGCCAGCATGAGTGGCGTCTCCCCCTCGTCATCCTTCACATCCACCGGCACGCCTATCTCCTCCACCATGTACCTGCAGGCATTGAGATATGCACATACACATACACATACACATACACATACACATACACATACACATACACATACTCAATGGTTCAGAAAACAGCACAACACACGCATGGATCTCCCGCATCTCCCCCTCGTCATCCTTCACATCCACTGAAACGCCTATTTCATCCACCATGTACCTGCATGCGTCGTTTGATATATACACACACACATACTCAGAGTGAAAGAAACAAAACACACGCATGCACTCAGCTCCCCTGACTCCCCCTCGCCATCCTTCACGTCCACTGGCACGCCTATTTCATCCACCATGTACCTGCACATGCTGAAAATACTCCTATGGGTAGGTGCCTAATTTGAAAGAAAAAAAACAACACGCAACAAAACACACACGCACACACGCACACGCACGCACACACACACACAAACACACACACACACACACACACACACACACACACACACACACACACACACACACACACACACACACAAAAGAACACCAACGGAAACGCCCATCGATCAAAACCCAATCACGTACCTGCACGCATCCACGTGGCCCTTGCTCGCTGCAAAGTGCAGGGCCGTGCGGCCGTTCGCGTCCCCCAGTTCCCTCGTTTCCTCGACTTTACAGTCTATCCAAATGTCACCTCTCAGTCACGTACCTGCACGCGTCCACGTGGTCCTTGCTCGCTGCAAAGTGCAGGGCTGTGCGGCCAATGGCTTCCCTCACCTTCTTCAGAACCTCCCTCGCTTCCTCCACTTTAAAGTCGACCCAAAACTCACCTCCTTAACCCAGCCACATACCTGCACGCGTCGACATGCCCCGTGCTGGCTGCAAAGTGCAGGGCCGTGCGGCCATTGGCGTCCCTCACCTCCTCCAGCACCTCCCTTGCTTCCTCTACTGCAAGCTTCCCCTCGTTACTGTCACCCGCACCACCATCACCACCACCAGCAGACGCGGCGGCAGCAGCTGCAGTATCACTACTGAGCTTCTCATCTACATCAAACTCTGAAAGCATTTCCACTCCCCCCTTCTTCCCCTTTACCTTCCCCTCCGCCTTCCCCTCCCCCTCCCCTTCCGCCTTCCCCTCCGCTTTCTCCTGCGCTTTCCCATCCGCAATCATCACAGCAACGGCTTGTTTCAGCCCATCCACGTCACCGTCTTGGGCAGCTTTCAGCAGCCGGTTGACTTTTTCCCGGGCAGCCCAAGCTGCCGCCCCGTCCTTCTTTTCACCTGCCCCATCCCCACCCTTCCCCTCCGCCTTTCCCGTTCCCCCCTTCGCCCCTCCCCCCGCCCCTGCCTGCTCCGCGCCTGCTTTGGCAGTTCCATTCCCCGTGGCTGCTGCCGAAGCTGATGCTGCTGACGAACCTGCAGCCTTGTTCGGGGAGGTTCGGATGGGTCCGAACCTCTTTTCCAAGGCTTCGGTGTCGGTTAGGGCGGGCCATTTCTGCGGGTGCTGCTTCGTCAGAGTCAGGACGAGTATGGAGCCGTCGATGTACCAGGCTGAATCGGACGGTCGGATCTTCTCGTACAGATCAGGAGCGTTCAACAGTGGGGCGGCGGCGCCTTCCTTCCATGCCACCTGGCAAGCAGGGGATAAGCGTGACTAAGTTGTGGAGGGAAATTTTCGATTACGTGACAATGTCGAAAGACAACCGGCCCGTAATACTACCACGTAGAATGTGACACAATGTAGTGGTTGAATGCAGCAAGGGAGATTGGTTATAAGCTTATGAGAAAGGCGTGCGACTAGCCACTACGGCAGCCAGTAGATAATGACGAACGGGTCTCCGGTAAACGTTTATTGCGGAGGGTACATGAAGAGAAAGGCAAGGAGAGATGTGTAGAGATGGATTCAGGAGTATCAAGGAGTGCCAGACGGTGCAATCCAGGTGAGAAGGGTACAAAGAGGGCAATGTAGGTAAATGGATGGGTACAGAGCGGTAACACACCTTGACGGAGCTCGCCTGTATGTCAATGGACAAGCGCTTTGCAACATCTGAAGCCTTGATTTCTGCTGGCAGCGGGATTCGAACCTCGACCTCTTCTCTTCCGTCCTCGAAGGTGTGCATGGTTCTGGAGCGGGAAAAAAAAAACCGTAACTAACGATGACGGAATAGGTGTGGTAGCGATGGCGACGCGTTCGCTTGCGCTTTAAATGTGTAGCTGACGATCTCAGGATTGACGATTTAGCTTTCTAAAGCAACTAACTCGGAAGGAGCTGGAGGACAAAGATAAATCACGAATGAAGAATAGGTGATAAGGTAGGAAGTCAGTGGATTAAGGACGTCTTATAAAGAGGCACCAAGGATAAACGCCTTCTCGATGATCCCAGAAGGCTCTGGTCTGGAGTGGACTGAAAGTTCCACCGGCTGGTCCGGAGTGGACTGAAAGTTCCTAACTCTGGCTAGCTTCTAGATGGTGCTGGAGCCTTCCAGATTTGCCTAGGTTGGATGCTGCACAAATGCATACGCATCAAAAGGCAGCGCACGTTGCATACAATAGTCAAAATCGTTCTCTGCTGTTGTTTGGTTACATTATTTCGTGTAGCTATCGTTCTTGGCTCCGTGAATTGCGCTCATTGAATGGTCGCAATGGCCTTGCTTGGAGCTTGGGTGGTGTTCCCTTGTTCCAGCCTCGGATGGTGCGCAATGGGCATGATGCAGGGTGTCGAGCTGACGGCTGAAATGGCCCCATTCTCCAATCAGAAACGACGAGACGCAACGTGTTCGGCTGTTCTAACCTCGATCGTCAATCAGCGGTTTGACGCCTGCCTTATGAGAGGCTATCTGTTTTTCAACCAGCCGACAGCCCGTCAATAACTTCGCACCAATCGGTTGCGAAGGTGCATCTTTTGTCGCCAAAGGCAGATTTGGCGGAAGTCATGAGTTGCCTGATTGGTTGACACCTGTAACGATTGAAGTCGTACAATCGGCTGGAGATGGCGGCCGATGGATCCAGCCGGCGCGTCGCTCCTTCATCAAGTCGAATCGACGGGGTGCTTCGATCAGGAAGGGCAGCCAAACAAACTGATGACTCCACCAAACAATTTCCGATGTCGTTCCAGCCACAAACTGCCTAAAGACAAAATTTCAAGTTCGGGCTAAACCCACTCGCTTTTCTCCATACCGTCAATGTTCTCATGACGTCCGATCCAACGGCAGATTTGAAGCGAGAATCCTTCCAAGTAGCCCGTATGTGCAACTTATTTTTTGTTTGTTCTCCTCGGGCCCCTCGTCTCCCTCGGGAAACGTGTTGTACTCGATGAAACGTGAACAGGAGAGGAAGAGTACATAACTTCCTCAAACCAAGCACAGGTCCTCTAGATGTTGTTTCTCGGTCCACCATAACTTCTCCACTCTGTTCCTCTTCTCAACCTCCGTTCCTTGACCGCCATTCTTCCTTCCGCCGTTCTGTTGATTATCACTGTTCGACAGACTGTTTCCGATCGCAACGCATCTGATTCTCCGCCACATTCAGAGCATCTTGCGAATCTGTTTCTCCCAGCTACGCTCCTCCGAAACGGAATTCTTTAGGTCTTTGTCGTTCCCTACACTACCCGGCCCAGACCCAGTATCATTCAACGTACGATCGGCTTACGGTTGCTCCGAATTAAGCCCTTGATTGTTCAGCAATTACACTCCCCGTCCTTCCATCGAGCAGCAATCACGCTGTTCGTCAATTGCCTCTCAGGTTCATCGCAGGACAATTTTCCCACTTCACAGCCTTCTTTCGAAGTGTTATCCAGTCCATTGCATCCGACAAAAGCGCCGCCATGTCTTCTCTCCAATCAGCTACTGCACTGCTTCACCACGCGGGATCCGCAACTGCCGGCGCTAGTAACGCTGTGGCCACTAGTAGCGCCGCGATTCGCGCCGGGAAATCCGCACACGATTCGTCGATTTCCTTGCCATCAAGCTTCCTTCCTCGCCTCGATTCGACGCTCACCACCACCACTTCCTCCACCTCATATTCGTCACTCCCTTCCCCTTCTCTTATCGCCGTCCGATCGGCATCTGCGAGTGCGGCGGGACCCGCCGCAATTTCCGGCGGCCAATCACAGAACGGTGCCGTCCGGGACCGGGTGATCGCGATCCCGGATCTCGAGGAGGATTTCGCGCCGGAGGTGAACGGGACGTACGGGAAGGGCGGCAGCGTGGAGGACGATGCGGCCGCCGTACGCGGCGGATTAATCGACGGCGGGCTCGTGTACAGGGAGCGGTTCGTCATCCGGTGCTACGAAGTCGGCGTTAATCGAAAGGCTTCTATGGAGACCATCGCGAATCTGCTGCAGGTAAATCCTCACTAGGAAGTCTACTGAGTGATTCACTTTAGGGCACTTTCCCCTCTCAATTCTCACTCAGTCCTTCAACTCCCTTCACTCCGCGTCCCACTCTCTCCCAGGTTCCACCACCCCTCTTTCCCTCTGTTTATCCCCGTAGCTAGTGGTTTCATATCCTTGTCCGTCCCTTAAACCTCGCTCTGTGCGTGTGCGTGTGTGCGTGTGCGTGTGTGTGCGTGTGCGTGTGTGTGCGTGTGTGTGTGTGTGTGTGCGTGTGTGCGTGTGTGCGTGTGTGCGTGTGCGTGTGTGTGCGTGTGCGTGCGTGTGCGTGTGCGTGTGTGCGTGTGTGTGTGTGTGTGCGTGTGCGTGCGTGTGCGTGTGCGTGTGTGCGTGTGTGTGTGTGTGTGTGTGTGTGTGTGTGCGTGTGTGTGTGTGTGCGTGTGTGCGTGTGTGTGTGTGTGTGTGTGTGTGTGTGTGTGTGTGTGTGTGTGCGCGCGCGTGTGTGTGTTTTCGTGTGTGTGTGCGTGTGTGTGTGTCTGTGTAACGCGGCCTTGCCAGGAAATAGGGTGCAACCACGCGCAGAGCGTGGGGTTCTCCAACGACGGTTTCGCCACCACGCCAGCGATGCTTGCGAATCGCCTCATCTGGGTTACCACTCGCATGCACATCGAGATGTACAAGTATCCCAAATGGTACGTGATTTCTGGGTGTATGCTGAATTATGCTCGCAAATGACCTCATCTGGGTTAACGCTCGCATGCACATCGAGATGTTCAAGTACCACTCGCAAATTACCTCATATTTGCCAAACCTTCCTGTTCCTGTTACAGACAGACAGAGCTTTCACCTCTTAGTAACATTTCCCTGTTATCCCTGTTTCCTGTCTCCGCACGCAACTGACACCTCCTGATTCCTCCTTCCTGATTGGCTGCCATGCTGCCACGTGGCAGGGGTGACGTGGTGGAGATTGACACGTGGTTCCAGGATGGCACCATCATGTCGCGCCGTGATTGGATCATCCGCTTCGGCCACACAGGGGAGGTCATCGGTCGAGGCACCAGGTAACTCTCAGTGTTGCTTGGTGAGGTTTGGTAACGCTCCGTGGGATGAGATTGGGCTATACCGGGTCAGTGCGGCTTGGTGTGCCGTGATTGGATCATCATGTTCAGTCGGCCACACAGGGGAGGTCATCGGCCGGGGCACCAGGTAACGCTCGGTGTGGCTTGGTGTGATTCGGTGTGGCTCGGTGTGGCTCGGTTTGGCTCGGTGTGATTTGGTGTGGCTCGGTGTGTCTCGGTGTGGCTCGGTGTGGCTCGGTGTGTCTTGGTGTGGCTCGGTGTGGCTCGGTGTGTCTCGGTGTGGCTTGGCATGGCTTGGTGGGACTCGGCATGGCTAAGCAGGGTTCGGTGGGGCTCAGTGTGGCTCGGTGCGGTCTGTGTGGCTCAGTGTGGAGCGGTTGGGCTAGGTTGGGCGTGGTGGCACTCGGTACTCCGGCAATATCACACGACTTGACCCTGCCCTCCTGCCACCCCCTAGATCTGACTCCCCCACTTGCCCTTCCCTACCATGACACCAGGTGCTAGCACCTCCTCGTCTCTCATCTCCAGTCCCCTCTTCCTCCCGTCCCTTTCCCCTGCAACCATCAGCTCATGGGCCATGATGAATCGCGACAAAAGGCGTCTCTCCAAGGTGCCTGCAGACGTGTGTGCCTCTTCCCCAACACTCTTCCCCTCACCTGCCTCTTCTCTACCCTCCTTCCCCCCCCTTACCATCAGCTCATGGGCCATGATGAATCGCGACACAAGGCGCCTCTCCAAGGTGCCACCCTTCTGCTCATGTGCGCGCCGCTTCCTCCCTGCCCCCTCGCTCCCCCTTCCCTGCTCTCCCCAAGGCGCCTCTCCAAGGTGCCACCCTTCTGCTCATGTGCGCGCCCCTTCCTCCCTGCCCCCTCGCTCCCCCTTCCCTGCTCTCCCCAAGGCGCCTCTCCAAGGTGCCACCCTTCTGCTCATGTGCGCGCCCCTTCCTCCCTGCCCCCTCGCTCCCCCTTCCCTGCTCTCCCCAAGGCGCCTCTCCAAGGTGCCTGCCGGAATGAGCGCCACGCTAGTAGTGCGCTGATCCCCCCAACCTGCCTCTTCCCGTCTACCCTCCCCTCTTCCCGCCTCATCAGTTCATGGGCCATGATGTAGGTGCCTGCTGACGTGCGCGCCTCACTTCCCTCACCCCATACCTTCTCCTCACCGTACCTTCTCCCTCCTCTTCCTTTTCCCCTCCACAACCATCAGCTCATGGGCCATGATGAATCGCGACACCAGGCGTCTCTCCAAGTTGCCTGTTGACGTGCGTGCCTCTTACTTCCTCTCCACTCTCTCCCCCACGTGCCCCTTCCCTGCCTCTTCTCTAATCTCCTCTCTCCCTCATCAGTTCATGGGCCATGATGAATCGCGACACCAGGCGCCTCTCCAAGGTGCCTGCTGACGTGCGCGCCGAGCTCACAGTGCATTGCCCCAACCCTGAGAGGTTAGTGGAGTGGGTTTATATCGAGTGGGACTATATTGGGACTATATTGAGCTCATGGTGCACTGCCCCAATCCTGGGAGGTGGGACTATACCAAGTAGGATTATGAGACCATATCGAGTGGGAAGTTGGGATCGTATCAAGCTCATAGTGCACTGCTGCAACCCTGGGAAGTGGGACTATATTGCGTGTGACTACATCGAGTGGGAAGTTGGAATTATAGCGAGCTCAGAGTGCACTACCCTAACGCTGAAAGGTGGGACCAGTGTCTAAATGGGGTGAGCTTCAGACTTGACTCTCCTCGCCAGGTTTTCTATTCCAAAGGATTATGTCTCAAGCTTCGCTTGTTGCGATGACTTTTCAGGCGCCTTCAAAACAACAGTCTTGCGAGGACCAACAAGCTTGAAGAATAATCAGAGAAGACTGCAGCGGGGATAGCCTCAATGACTGTTCTGGCACCTCACACACCCCGTTCCTCCCGCCCCTCCCCACCCCATGCTCCCCCTCTCCTGGCTCTCTAATCCAGAGAACAGCGTTGTGAGGGTCAACAAACTGAAAGAGCCAGCAGAGGAGACTTGTTCAGGCACACGGCGACTCGCCCAAGTGACTGTTGGCATGCGTTACACATGCTTCCCTCCCCTCCCCTCCCTGCATCCCTGTGCTCTGCTGCTGCTCCCCTTCTCCAGGTTTTCTATTCCAAAGAGCAGCGTTGCAAAAATCAACAAACTGGAAGAGCCAGCAGACCACGTGCGGCCATACCTCCGGGTAAGGCCTTTACCCCCTGTAGGACACACTACATGCCACATGCCACATACCCCACATGCCACATGCCACATAACCCATGCCACGTGGCACACATTACATACCACAAGCCACATGCCACATGCCGCATGCCACATGCCACATGCCACGTGGCACACATTACATACCACAAGCCACATGCCACATGCCACAAGCCACATGCCACATGCCACATGCCACAAGCCACATGCCACATGCCTCATGCCACAAGCCACATGCCACATGCCACATGCCACAAGCCACATGCCACATGCCACATGCCACAAGCCACATGCCACATGCCACATGCCACAAGCCACATGCCACATGCCACATGCCACAAGCCACATGCCACAAGCCACAAGCCACATGCCACATGCCACAGATCCCATCCATGCACTAAGAGCCAGCAGACCACATACGGCCATTTCCTAGGTAACCCCCTTGTGTTTCTCGCCCTCATGCCCATTTTCTGTCAAGGTCCGATTCCCCATACCCGGCAAACGATGCCCCATGCCCCCATATTCCGTGTTTGTTCTCATCGTGTGACTCTGATTCACCACCAGCCGAGGCGCAGCGATTTGGTCATGAACCACCACGTCAACAACGAGGTGCCTTAACAGGTGGTGGTTCATGGTGGTTCAGGAAGAGTTTCTCCTTCCCCTTCTCTTCTCTCCCTCTCGTGACTTGCATTCCCCACCAGCCTAGGCGCAGCGATTTGGACATGAATCATCACGTCAACAACGTCACTTACATTGCATGGATGCTTGAGGTGCGTTGCTTGTGTGCTTGAGCTAGCTGGGCTTCTTGGGGTTTCTTGAGTTATTCAAATGAGTTTTGGACTTGAACCACCATGTCAACAACGTGACCTACATCGCACTCATGGATCCTCGAGGTGCGTTGAGAGGTTGCATGCTATTGCTTGAGATCTGGTTACCGTAAAATCACCATTGGATATCACTGGGAGCGTGGGCAGGAGGAGGGGGCAGTCAGACCAACATAGACCCATGCGATGTTAAAAATCCAGAGCTCTGATGGGGAAGGAGGGCGTTAAAATCTCTTTCCATCACCCTCCTTCCCCATCAGAGCCTGCCCCAGTCCCTACTGGGTTCATCAGAGCTGGCTGAAATCACCATCGAGTATTGCGGGCAGGACAGCGAGGCCATCAGACCACCATAGTCACGATTCGCTCCTTGTCGTCTCCTCACTCCCACTTGTCCCCCACTTGTCCCCCACATACTCCCATGCTTCCTTTGCAACTCTTCCCTTCCCCACCAGAGCCTGCCGCAGTCCCTTTTGTGATCATACGAGCTGGCTGAAATCACCATTGATTATCGCCGGGAATGTGGGCAGGGCAATGCGGCAATCAGACCATCATAGACCCATGCGGTATAACAACTCTGTCTTCTCGTATCACCCCCCCTCCTCTTACCCACCAGAGCCTGCCGCAGTCCCTCTTGGGATCATACGAGCTGGCTGAAATCACCATCGATGGGTTGATCCCAGTACGCGGGCCCATTCTCATTCATAGTTTCCTTTCCCTTCACCTCTCTCTCTTCCCTCTGCTTACACTCTCTTGCTTCCCTTCCCCACCAGAGCCTGCCGCAGTCCCTCTTGGGATCATACGAGCTGGCTGAAATCACCATTGATTATTGCCGGGAATGTGGGCAGGGCAATGCGGCAATCAGACCATCATAGACCCATGCGGTATAACAACTCTGTCTTCTCGTATCACCCCCCCTCCTCTTACCCACCAGAGCCTGCCGCAGTCCCTTGTGGGATCATACGAGCTCGCTGAAATCACCATCGATGGGTTGATCCCAGTACGCGGGCCCATTCTCATTCATAGTTTCCTTTCCCTTCACCTCACTTCCCTCTGCTTACACTCTCTTGCTTCCCTTCCCAACCAGAGCCTGCCGCAGTCCCTCTTGGGATCATATGAGCTGGCTGAAATCACCATTGATTATCGTCGGGAGTGCGGGCAGGACGACGTGGTTGAGACACTTGCCAAGGAAATCGTTTCGCCTGATATTTCACCTGAAGTTTCACCTGGGGAGGGTGCAGCTGAGAAGGTGGTGTCCTGTGCTGGTGCTACTGCTGCAGCTGCTTCTGTTGCTGGTAGCAGTGGTGGGAGTGTGAATGGGACTGCTGTGCTGGAAATGGAAAAAGGAAATGGGAGTGTCGCTGCTGTTGCTGCTGTTGCTGCTGCTGTTGCTGCTGCTGCTGCTGTTGCTGCTGTTGCTGCTGCTGCTGCTGCTGCTGCTGGGGCTGCCCCTGCTGCTGCTGCTGCTGCTGCTGGGGCTGAGGGGTTGGTGGAAGGCGTTCAGCAGCAGCAGATGCAGCAATTTCTGCACCTGTTGCGATCGCAGGAGTGCAAAAAGGAAATCAACAAGGGAAGGACGATCTGGAGGAAAAAGAGCCACTCAGACCTGTGACGGCTTTTGAGGGTCTAATAAAAAGGAGCAGCAACTTCTGCACCTGTTGCGGTCACAGGAGTGCAAGAAGGAAGTCAACAAGGGAAGGACGATCTGGAGGAGAAAGAGCCACGCAGACCTTTTAATGCCCAACGAAGGGCCTGTGGTATCCTCATTATAGGATGTGATCAGTAGCTTACAACAAGAAAATGAGTAAAATGTGCTGGAAATCGAATGAGGGAAAGCATTGCTGCCTACATAACGAGAGGGAGCAATAGTTATGTGGGGTGGGGTACATGTTGTTGTGATTGTTGCTGAGGTGTATATAGTTGAGAGCTTCTATTGTCGTACACAATATTTCAACCTCTGAACGACGTGTGTGGTAACAATTCTCACACTGCCATTGCATTGTCCTTGTGAGAGCTTCTATTGTGGTGACACAAGCCGTGTGCCTACACGCAGAGTTCCTAACTGACAATTTGTGACATTTGCATCCCCAATGATCACTAAGCCACAAAACAGCATGTGGCTCATTCACAAGACCGGAGCTACATACACACCATCTCAAACAGACATAAACAATGCTCTATCCACAAGATAGCCACTATACGCCACCTCAACGAGCTTTGAGGTGCCTCAAAAGTTGTCCATTACACCGAAGCTACACCCTGAACAGACAGAAGCAATGCACCGTCCCGTCCCACAAGTTTGTCACTGCACACCATCTCAACAATCTCCTTCCGAATTGCAATGTGAGGTGCAACATCCATCAAGATCCTGCTAATGCCCCTTTTGTCCCTCATCCCTCCTATTGCACCAGATCAGCAACGAGGCTCTGCTGGCCACTTCTGAGTCGACTCAAAAGTCACCTCTTCCGCAACTGTCCCTTTTGTGCCTCGTCCCTCTTACTGCACCAGCTCAGCAATGAGGCTCTGCTGTCCATTGAGGCGGAGCAGGAGGGAGAGAGGCGTGGAGGAGGAGGAGATGTGTGCGAGCAGAGGGGCAGCAAGGGAGGAAGACAGCTGCATCTCCCCAGCCATTGCAAACGCGGTGTTTGCAGCCCTGGCTGCTGTAGCAGCAGCACCACCAGCACTGCCAGCAGCAGCAGCAGTAACAGTAGTAGCACCAATGGTGGCCGCAGTAGCAGCACCAGCAGCAGCACGAGCAGCAGCGGCACCAACAGCAGTGGCGGCAGCATTGACGTTGCCTGCTGTAGTTACCCAAGCACCAGGCAGCACCACCAGAGGGGTCAGAACCGAAGGCACCAAGCCAGCCACCGAACCTGCAAGGTTAGCCGCCGAGCCTGCTGCCTTCCCTGCTGCGCCTGCTGCTTTCCTTGCGGCACCAACTGCATTTCCTGCCGTGCTAACGAGTGAACCTGCAGTGTCGCCAACTAAGCCTGCGGCCGAGCCTGCAGCCTTACCAGCAGTGCCAGTCGCCAAACCTGCAGTATTCCCTACCAAGCCTGTTGCCGAGCCTGCAAGGTTCCCCGCCGCACCTGATGCCCTCCCTGCAGTGCCAACCGCCGCGCTTGCAGTAGTGCCGACCAAGCCAGCTGCCGAACCAGATGAGTTGCTGACCAACCCGGCTGCCGAGCCTGCAAGCCTCCCAGCAGAGCCTGCCGCCTTACCTGCAGTGCCAGCGGTGGAGCCTGCAATGGTGCTGACCAACCCTGCTGCCGAACCTGCCACCTTCCCTGCAGTTCCAACCGCCGAGCCTGTAGCATTGGTTGCCAAGCCTGCTGCCGAGCTTGCAAGATTGCCTGCGGATCCTGCTGCCTTTCCTGCAGTTCCGATTGCCAAACCTGCAAGGTTGGTTGCCAAGCCGGCTGCCGAGCCTGCGAGGTTCCCTGCAGATCCTCCCACCTTTCCTGCAGCGCCCACAGCTGAACCTGCAGCGCTGCCCACCAAGCCTACTCCCGAACCTGCAAGGCTTCCCACCGAACCTGCCGCCTTCCCTGCAGTTCCTACCGCCGAACCTGCAACACTACCCACCAAGCCTGCCGCCGAGCCTGCCACCTTCCCTGCAGAGCCTGCCACACTCCCCGCTGCCCTCCCCACACCAAAAACAGCTCCGGCGACATCCGAAATCAACCCAGCTGGAGCCACATTGAGGTTTGGCGAGCCTCCAAAACTGGCTCGGGCGCCTGCCGAGCCTATGTTGGCACCCGCACCGGCGGCCAAACCAGTCGAGGCAGTGATGGGAGTGGAGGAGAGGGGGCCTCTGGTGCAGGGGTTGCGAGGGAGGATGGCTGGAGGAGTGGAGGGCTGCAGGGCTATGCCCTGTGCTCTGATCTTGTAGGCAAGGTACACTGACGCTCCCCTAAGAGATTATGCAAACGGGAGAGATAAGAAGAAAAACAAGATATTATTATTTATCTAGAAAAAATTACTACTCAAGGTGGCGGAAGAGAGAGGGGGGGTTGGGGGGGGGAAGGGAAGGAGGTGCTGGAAAAAATAGGATACAATCCCAATGCAGGTTCGCAGTACCTTCGGAGGATGCTGATATCAGCCGTGCCATCAGCGTTGGACCTGATCTCAGCGCTCGTCCCACCACAAGGGGCTAGGGTCCCATGGAGAGAAGCTGGTGAAATAGAAACAGAACAGAATAGCAGAAGATCTAGGAGCATCAGGATCTGGAGTTTAATATTTGCTGCAAGATAGAACGCTATTAGATTATATATATATATATATATATAACTGTTTCTTGCGGATCATGCTTGTAAAGGGCTTTGCAGTAACGGAACTCACCCAGAATCTTGGAGCCGATGCTAGGACCAGTGCGAGCAGCGAGGGCAGATGGAGGGAGAACGGCTGCTGAAACAATAAGCGGACACAAGAAATAGAAGGCGAAAAGGGTATGATGTGTCGAGGAACATTCAATTGGTAATGGAAATTCCTGTGTTATGACTGAAGTTTGCATATTCAATGAGTACATCTAGGGAAATCGTCGCGACCTGGCTGTTATGCAGAATAACTAACCTGCAAGTGCGACGGTGAGGAGAAGTGTCACAGCTGCACGAGGGGAGAAACGAGCCATGCTGAAAGGTTGGAAATCGTTCCGTGGTAAAGCAAAGCAGTGGGGTGGCTCCTGAACTCAGGCTTGGGAATACCAGTGTTGAGAAGTTGAGCTGATTGATTTTGAGTCTGTGGTGCAAAATGTTGGAAATGTGGGCATTTATCAACCCTGCTTTCGGGCCGCGCATTCAACATCACGAGTCGCGACAGAATGGAGGTGAAAGGAGTAGCTGCAGAACATCTGGGTTGGCCTTACTGTCGGGCAGGCCACGTGGCGGTGATGTTTGACCTACAAAGCGGTGGGGCAGGCTGCCTGCCGAAACCCGCTGCCACCGAACACATTTTGCGTTGAAAGTAGTCTACGGTCAGGGTAGCCAATCGCACCACTAATTTATCCGATATAAGAAATGTTCATCTTGTGCGGACCGTTTATCGATTTGAAACAATCGCATATATGTGGGCCCTGTTCAAAGAGCTTGCGGAGCCACACTTTGTGGCATTTGGTGTAGCGCGGATATAAAGCTGGTTTGCTGACTCCCTCGCACCTTCAGACTTTTACCGAGCCAACACACAAGCTGACGAAGGTGTGTCGTGGCCTAGGCCAAACTAGTTACCTGCCGAACCTCCCCGCGTGGCAAATGCCTTGCAACTTGAACCAGGCACGTGGGTCCAGCTCGCAGGGCAAGCCTAGTGAAGCACCAAAAGCTAGGCTCGTCTAATCCAAACCAGAACAGGTTTGCACATCAGCACGCATTTTTCTTTGCGCCAATCTCGCCCCTCCCGTCGTGCATATCAAGGTTGAACCGCATCGCATTCTCGTGCAGAGGAACGAAAGGGGCTCCTCATTTGTTAGGTTCAAATCACCCTTCCCCTGAGTATTGACTGTCGAGGCTCTCCCTGCTGGAGGGCGTGCAAAAAAATATTTCCCAGCATCTTCAGCTTAGCAACAGCCCCAATCAACCAGTAGGAATCCGTAATGCGGCTGGTTGGAAGAGTACACTGATGCATTTCTTCGTAACCAGACATTTTTCTCAACTTCCTCTTGTTTCGGGTAGTTTCGATCTGTTGGTGCACCATAGTTACGCCACATTTGTTGCGCCCGAACCCATCACCTCATCAATCCCACAATCATCACACGAGTCGCTTACTTCCAGAGGCCATGCATCGTGGGATATCGTAGCTTGAGCTCTCATCTGTGGAGGTGCGAGTTTAGTTATGTAACGACGATCCCGATAGAACCCAACGAACCTCCATGGCGCGACGAGTAAACTTGACGGCAGGACAGCAGCAGTAACTAGCAGTGCACGACATGTGGTTGCGAGAGGCATGTTCGAATCGGATAGCAGGCAGGACACATGAGCTTCTCCCAAAGCACGACCGAGTTTCCTACGTCCCCCACCTTTTCCGAGAAGAGAAGCTGCAAAGCCCCCGAAAGGCGTCAGGGTATCCTGAGGCGCCTCAGAAGTTTAGGATTACGAGAGTTCGCGATGTGCGAAAATGGATGGCGACGACGTGACCGACTTCTCGCGAATCTTATCCGCGAAAACTTCTGCGCTCTTCTGTCTTTACATAGGATAACAAAGCTGACTTCAGTCTTTTGGAACGTAAAGCGGACGTAACCAGCTGCAGGCGTAGGCTCAGCACACATAGAAGCCCCCACGAGGCAATGTTTTGAGACGTCTCAAAACAGCACACATAGAAGCCCCCACAAGGCAAGGTAGTGTTTTTGGGACATGGGTTCCCGCCTCTGACGTAGAAACAACCCTTAGAAGCGATGTCCTGCGCAGCGATGTCACCTAAGAACTCAAGTATACGCCTTATTTTTTCTCCTCACCTGGGCGTTCATTTGAACAACGGTTAGGCGTCGCCTTGGCTCTTAGATAATCGAGTGACTGATAGTCGAATACTCTGATAGCCGCGCAATTGCGAATACTAGGTACTATTCAGTCATGGCGACTCCGTCATTCTACTAGGTAGACTTTGGGAGCTGCGGGGTTACGTGGTAACAACATGGATACCGCGCTTGGCCACATGATCGCGACGTGGGATCGACTCCGCAACACCTCCCCCATTCTTAGCGCCAGCCGTCCCCCTCTTTTCCCCGCCCCTCCGCCTGTTGCGCAATTCGCCGACTCCCGTCGAGTGAGCCCCTTGCCTCCAGCCAATACGAATACTAATAGCATTAGTACGAATACTAGTGGTGCTACAAGTGGAATAAGGAGCACGAATCCAGACACGTCTCAAAACGAGAACTCGACTCCAGGAAGTAATATTCTCAACGCTGGTGATGCTAGTCGCGCCCGGCAAGCGAGTTGGAGCCGTGGCGGTTCGGACAGGCGAGAGGAGGGAGGCAGGAGGTATTTCAACGCTTTAGGCGGGAAAGAAGCTTTGCATGTCAGGGAAGCTCCAGTCGCGGCGCGTAATAACGGCTTAGTGGACGATTTCTCCCGTGGGCGCCTCGCTCAAGCCGCGAAAGACTTAGCGAGCGCTTCTCCTGTGGGAGGGCCGTCTGGCTCGTCCGTCAAAAGCGGCGGAAGGTGCGGCAGGGAGAGCGGCGATAGGTACGGAGGGGCAAACGATCATAAAACCAGAGCGGAGAGTAACGGAGAGGTTGCGGCTGACAGACGGGGAGGCGGCAGCATCGGAGGTGATAAAAGCGGGAGTGATAGAAGCGGAGCGTCCGCGGAGTCGGCGTTTTACCGTGCCATGCCTGATCCTTACGCGCGGCCGCAGCCCCGGCAGCACGGAACGGCGTTTCGCCGAGGCATCGGCGATGGCGCTCGCGACGGCGCTGGCGACGGCGATACTGGTAGTAACCGGGATAACGGCAGGGGTAACAGCGGGGATAGCGGTGGGTATAACAGCGTGAATATCGGCGCCAATAAAGACCGGAATAACGGCGGCAACACGGGGGGGAATAAAGTCGGGAATTTCGGCGGCAATAATGGGGGAAATAAATGCGGGAATAGCGGCGGTAACAACGGCGGCAATCACGGCACTGCAAGCGATGGAAGAAGGCGCGTGGGTTCAGACCTCCTGGCTGAACCCGCGGGGCAAAGCCCAAGGTTTCTGGGAGCAAGAGATAACCAGATGATGGAAGGCGGCAGCCGGCTGAACAGCCTGGGAAGCGGCCGGCCAGTTGAGCAGCCGACGGCAGAGATGACGGCTAACCGTCAGGCAGGTGTCCGGCCGGCTTATGTGTTCACGGAAAGTGGATGGAAGCCGGTAGAAGAGGCGGAAGGTGGGGTTGGTAGGGGAAGTGTGGGGGTGAGACGGGGAGCCGGGAGGGGAGCGGGGAGGGGGATGGGGAGGGGGGCGGGGACGGAGGCAGGGACAGGGGTGGGGAGGGGGGTTGGGGAGACGGGAGGCGGAAGAAACGCGTTCGGTGGGGGATGGGGGAGAGGAGTCGGGGGAGGGAGGGGGATCGGGGCGGGGGAAGCGCGGAGGGAGGTCGGGGCAACGAGAGGAGAATCAGAAAGTAGAGGAGGGGAAGGGGCAACGAGAGGAGAATCAGAAAGTAGAGGAGGGGAAGGGGCAACGTCAGCTTACAGTCACACTCCTACTCCCCTTTGTCCGAACGCTCCTGTCCTGGAAGAAATAGAAACGGCGTTGGGAGTGGGGGGAAAAGGGGGAGGGGAGGAGATGGGGGAAGAGGAGGAGGAAGAGGAGGAGTTGGAGGAGATTGAGATGGAACAACCGCCGCTGCTGTCTAGTTCCTGGAGTTTGAGTCACGGGATCGGTAGAGGGAACGGGCTTCTGGAAATAAATGCAGCACCAGTTGCAGCAACGAGGCTCGAGACGCCTCAAAAGCCGCCGCTGCTGGCTAGTTCGTGGAGTGGGATTGGAAGAGGGAACGGGTTACCGGATACACGAGCAGCACTGGCTGCAGCAGCAAGCTTTGAGACGTCTCATAAGCCGCCGCTGGGGGCTAGTTTGTGGAGTGGGATTCGAAGAGGAAAGGGAGGGAATGGTTACCTGGATTTGAAAGAACCACCTGCTGCTGCAGCAAGTGTAGCAGCAGAAGGAGCAAGAGCAGCAGCAACAGCGTCGGTTGCATCACCAGCAGCACCCGCAGCAGCGAGAGCAGTAGTAGCATCGGCTTCAGGATCAGCAGCAACAGCAGCAACAGCAGTAGGAACGGCAGCAAAACCAGCAGCAGCAGCAGGAGTAACGGCCAGAACGCACAGGTTCAGGCCGAGGATACTATCACCCGTGCACGGTGGTCGAAACCCCCTCGCCTCGCCTAAAGCAGCCAGTGGTAACCATGCGAGGCAATGGACATCAGCTGGTAACCACATGCGCGAAGCTCGTTCATGTGGTAACTACTTGCAAGAAACTGCTCCCAGTGGTAACATTACAAGGCAAAACGGGGGGATTAACGGGAGGGGGGAAGATGCGGCGGTAAGCAGAGTGGTTGTGCCGCTTGAGGCTGGAAATTACAGCAGAGAGCGGGAGGAGGAGGAAGAGGAGGAGGAGGAAGAAGAAGAGGAGGAGGAGGAGGAGCAGCGTTGGTGCAAGGCGGAGGAAGCCAGACTACCCGCCTTAGCCAGAAGCCTTGACGTTGCCCAGCCTCTTGAAAGAAGGAGTGTTGCCGGAAGCCTTGACGTTGCCAGAAGCCTTGACGTTGCCAGAAGCCTTGACGTTGCCAGAAGCCTTGACGTAGCCAGAAGCCTTGACGTTGCCAGAAGCCTTGACGTTGCCAGAAGCCTTGACGTTGACAGAAGCCTTGACGTTGCCAGAAGCCTTGACGTTGCCAGAAGCCTTGACGTTGCCGGAAGCCTTGACGTTGCCCAACCCGTTGAAGACTTGCCGGTCTTCCAGCAGAGAGAGGAGGAAGAGGGGCGGTGGTGCAAAGAGGAAGAAGCGATTCGGCCTGCCTTAGCCAGAAGCCTTGGCGTTTCTCAACCCGTTGATCACCTTCCGCTCTTTCAGCAGAGGGAAGAGGAAGAAGATGAGGAGGAAGAGGAGGAGAGAGAAGGGTGGTGGTGCAAGGAGGAGGAGAAACGGTGCAGGGAAGAGGAGGAGAGAGAAGGGTGGTGGGGCAAGGAGGAGGAGGAGAAACGGTGCAGGGAAGAGGAGGAGAGGCGGCTCAAGGAGGAAGAGGAAGAGGAGGAGCAACGGTGGTGCAGGGCACAGGAAGCCAGACTACCAGCCCTAGCCAAAAGCATTGCCGAACCTCTTGACGAACCTCTTACCGAACCTTTTGACGACCTTTGGGACCCACACGGCTTGTATGCAAACCAGAGCTTGTCTGGAGGTTCGTATGCCAACCCTGTTACTGCCGCCACTGCCACTGCTGCTTCTGGTCTCTTCGGTGTGGCTGGTCGCTTCAGCCTCCACTCTGGTGCTGCAGCTAGCAGCAGCAGGAGCAACAGCGGCGGCAGCAGCGACGGCAGCAGCAGGAGAAGGAGAAGGAGGAGGGGGTTACAGCACAGCAGCTTACCCCCATCGGCTGGTGCAGTGGCAATGGAGGGCTATAGCAGAGGCTCCATCCCACGTGATGCTTCCACAAGCAGCATCAGCAGTGACATTGGCAGCAGCAGCAGACGGAGAGGCTTACAACAGAGCCGCTTACCTCCATTGGCCGGTGCATTTGTTAAGAACGGCTATAGCAGAGGCTCCATCCCGCATGCTGCTTCTACGAGCAGCAGCAGTAGCTGTGGCGGTAGCAGTAAGAGAGGCTTGCAACACCGTGACTTACACCCATCGGCCGGTGAAGTGGAAATCGGCGGCTATAGCAGAGGCTCCATCCCGCATGCTGTTTCTACTAGCAGCAGCAGTAGCTGTGGCGGTAGCAGAAGCGTCAGGGGCAGCGGTAGCAGCAGCATCGGCGGCAGCGGCGGCAGCAGGGGTGACAGGGGCAATGGTAGAGGCTCAAACCAATGTCTCGTTTCTATGGAAGGGGTTTCCGACAGGGATGATTACACAAGGAGTAGGAGGGTGGCTGACAGTAATGCCATCGGTGATAGTGGAGGGAGTGGTGTTTGGTACGGTTCTGGTGACACTGGAGGGAGTGGGACTCGGTGCAGGAATGGTGGTAGAGATGGGAGTGCTGATGGGTATGGTACGGTTGACAGTAGCGGTATTGCCAGGGCCAACGACATTGCGAGTTATGATAGAGATGGGTACAGACGTGGATACCAGGGTGGTTACCAGAGTAGGAGGGACTGTGGCAGTGGAAGCAGGGAGGAAGCAGAGTTAGGGAACAGTGGGGGTGGGAGAATATGCGAGGAGGGTGATTGTGGTGATAACTGGGAAAGGATCCGCAGCAGCAGTAGCAGGGACAGAGGCAGCGCGAGCAGGGGCAATGCGCCAGGGCTAGGGGACAGTGGGGGTGGGAGAATGAATGAGGAGGATGATTCAGATAATAACTGGGAGAGGATCTGCAGCAGCAGTGGCAGGGACAGCGGCAGCGTGAACAGGGGAGAACCGGCAGAGTTAGGGAACGGTGGTAATAACTGGGAGAGGATAAACGGCAGCAATAGCAGAGGCAGAGGCAGCTTTAGCAGGGGAGAAGCGCAAGAAACAGGCAACAGGGGAGGCGGGAGCATGAGCAGGCAAAGTGGGAGCATGAACAAGGGCGTTGCGCAGGGGAGCAGCAGCACGAGAAGCTGTGATCGCATGAATGAGGCTATCAGGAGCAGCGCTAGCAGCAGCCTGAGAGGTTATTTTCTCGAAATCAGAGGCAACAGCAACGACAACGGAGGGGAGGGCAGCAGCACGAGAAGCAGTGATAGCAGACCGGATGCTATAAGGAGCAGCACTAGCAGCAGCACGAGAGACAACGTTCTCAGGAGCACCGGTAACAGCAACAGCACGGACAACGGAAGAGTGGCCAACAGAAGCAGCAGTGGCAGAAGCGGCAATGACCTGTACACAAGTGACACGATTGGTAACACAAGGAGTGGTAACACAAACAGTGGTAACATGAGGAGTGGTAACACAAACAGTGGTAACATGAGGAGTGGTAACACAAACAGTGGTAACATGAGGAGCGGTAACGGCAACAGTGACAGCAGCGACGGTAGCAGCAGCCGACGCAGCAGAGGAAGCAGCAGAGGGAGCAGAGGGAGCAGCAGCAGCAAGAGCCAGAGCAGCGGAACGTCTAGGTCAAGAGGCATCACCAGCAGACGGGTTGCTCTCCCCTCTCCCGCCTCCTCCTGTGCCTCCTCTCTTTCCTCTCCCTCCCCCCCCTCGTCTCCCTCCATCCCCTCCACTCCCTCTTCCCCCTCTCCCGCCTCTCCCCCCGCCCCTTCCCCCGTCCCTCCCTGCCCTCCTTCTGTTCATGCTGCGCCTCCCCCCTGCCTCTCCCCCACTCCTTCCGCCTCCGGCCCCCAAGAGTCCCCCCAGGCCTCCCACCAAACCTCTTTCCGAGCCTCTTCATCCGGTTCTCCCAGCGCATCTCCCAGGGTCACTTCCGGCAGGTCCGCCTCTTCAGGCTCGGCATTCTCCCGAGCCTACTCTTCCGGTTCGGCAAGGTCTCCCAAGCAGGTTCGGCCCAGCAGAAGCGCCACCAGCAGCAGCACGGGAAGAAGCACCCGCAGCAGAGGAAGCAGCAGGAGAGGTGGTAACCCTACGGTTACAAGCAGGAAGCAAAGCAGGACTCACAGGAAGACTGACAGCAAAATCCAAAGCCATACCCAAGAGAATACCAAGAGCAGCAGCACTGATTGTATGCCCACAGCTGTACCTCGTTCCTCCGGACCTCTTCCCGGGCCTCATTCCGAGCCTGTCGCCCACCCAGGCCTTACCGCAACTGCTCCATTTACCACAGGGTCTTCCAAAGCTGAGGCTCAGGTCTGTGCTCCTGCCGTGCCTCAGGCTGTCCTAGAGGGAGATTGCAAAGGTTCTTTGGTTTCCGAACCTAGGTCATCCGAGCATGAATCCCCACGTTCCCAACCTCAGCCTAGTTCGATTGCCGAACCTGCAGCTCCCTTGACCAAGCCTCATGGTTCTCGTGCTTCGGGCAGCCGAAGCGATCACTCAAGCAGTGAGGGGGGTCGTTCGGGCAGCAACAGAAGAAAGACTGTTTATCCTCCTGCTGCTCCAGTCAACCTCCCGTCTTCCCCATCTTCCTCTCCTGCTCCCCCTTCCTCACCTCCTCTCCCTCCCTCCCCTGACTTCACTTCCTCCCCTCCTCTCCCTCCCTCTCCCCACACTCCAGACGCTTATCCCTCTCCCTCACCTCTTCCCAACACTTCTCCCTCTTCTCTTTCCCTCGCTCCTCTTCCCTCTATCCCTTCCTCCCCTCCTTCCCCCACCCCGTCATCGCCTCCTCCCCTGTCCCCACTGCCGCCGTTTTGGCCTGTCTCCCCCTCTTCCTCCCCTCTCTCTCCCTCTGCCTTCTCTTCCCCCTCTCCCTCCCCCTCTCCTTCCCCTTCCACCCCCCTCCCACCAACCTCCCCTATTGAAAGGAGAAAGGCAGCAGCTGCAGCCGCAGCAAGGCGGAAAGCCATTGCCTCTGGTTCGGCGCCTGCTGGTTCGGGTTGTTCTGGTTCGGTCACAGGCTCGGTTACAGGTCCGGTTTCTGCTTCAACTTCACGTCCGGCCGAAGGAGGGAGGGAGGGAGAGAGGCGCATTGGCAGTAACGGCAGCAGCAGCAGTAGCAGTAGCAGTAGCAGCAGCAGGGAAAGCAGGGGCAGCAGCAGAAGGAAGATCAGGGAAAATAGGGATGAGAGTGGTGCTACCAGTGATGGTAGCAGTAGTGGCAGCAGCAGCTGCAACAGAGGCAGCAGCAGCGACAGCAGAAGCAAGAGTGGAGAAGCAGGAACAGGAGAAAAGGGAGGAGGGGATGGGGGAAATGCGGAGGGCAGGAACGAGGCGCGGAGGGAAGCAAAAACTGCAGATGCTGCTGTTGACGTGACAGCAGCGGCAGCAGCAGCAACAGCAACAGCAACAGCTGTAGCAGGAGCAGCATCAGTGGCAGCAGGTGCAGGTGCAGGCGCAGCAGCAGCGGCAGCGATGCCGCAAGTCCAAACCATGATAACGTCAGCATCTCCATCTCATGGCAGCATGATGACGTCAGCAGCACCATGTCACGGTGCCATGATGACGTCAGCATCGCCATCTGCAACATCGCCATCCATGCCGGCCGGGATGGTGGGAGCGGGGATGGTGGGTCTGGCCGGCATGACAGCTGGCATGGGCTGGCAGCAGAACCCCATAATGACGTCAGCAGAGCAACCCATGCTGACATCATCAGGCAACCTGGTGGCAACTGCCATGAAGCTTCCTCCTCCGCCTCCTGCATTTTTAGACGCCACCACGGGTACTGTAGTTTATAGTAATGGCAGTAATAATAAAAGTATTAACAATAATATCAACGGTGTACAGTACTGCAACGGTCAACAGGGGCTACAGGGATTACAGAGTAGTGATGTGCGGTTCAGTGCGGTGCAGAGCGGTGGCAGTGGTTTACAGCTCACAGGTCTGCAGCAGCGCAATGGGGGGATGATGCTGCCTGATGGATCGATGCAGTCAGCAGGGCACATGGGGATGATGACGTCAGCAGGCCAACACATGATGACGTCACCTGCTCATGCTCCTCCTAGACTCACTCATACCCACTCACTCTCCCCCTCTCTCCCACTCTCCCCTTCACACCCTCTCCCGCCCTCACACCCTCTTTCCCCTTCACACTCTCTCTCCTCCTCTCACCCCGATGCTCACACTCACTCACTATCCCCACCGCACCCCCTCTCCACATCACAGTACACCATGATGACGTCACCGTCTCACTCAATGCTGACGTCATCCGTGGCAGCATCAGGCATGGCTTACCCCTCAGCCAGCATACCATACGCATCCACTGGTGCTGTACCATCCATGTCCATGCCCTCTCAACAACCATCTATGGCTTCACAACAACCCATGCCATCACAACAACAATCCATGTCTATACCCTCTCAACAGCTACCCTTGGTCTCACAGCAATTCATGCAACAGCAAACTCTAGGCATGGCTGCTCCTCAACCCCATCACACACTCTCAACCTTCCCCACACACTCTCTAACAATCTCAATCCCCTCAACCCCATCACCCGCATCACCCACATCTCCCAATTCTCCTTCTCCCTTCAAGGCGCCTCATTCTCTCCAGACTCACCCCTCAGAGTCACTTAAGAATATATGCCCATCCTTCCCACAGATGAATGTACATGGGAGTAACGGTGTGCACATCGCCTCCTCCTCCCATCCGTCCTCTCACCTTTCCTCCCAGCCTTCCTCTCCCATGCATGCACATTCAGCTTCTAGCTCCCCCACCGCTTATGGCACCATGCATGCACATGCCATCAACAGCACCATAGCCAGCGCAGGCAGCAGCAACAACAGGGGCTTTAACAGCAGCATCCTGGCTAGCGCACCTAACAGTATGCAGGTTAGTGCTCCCACCAGCATGACCATGCTGACGTCAGCGCACCATGACATGCCCGCGATTATGACGTCATCGATGCAGGTTCAGCAGGATTCGGTGACGTCAGGAGGATACGGGGGTGGGACGGTGGTGGCTGTGGGGGGTGGAGAGAGGGAGGGGCAGCAGCAGCAGATTGTGCCTGGTGCTGAAATGGGTGAGAAGCAGCAGCAGCAGCAGCAGGGGAGGGGGAGGGCAGCAACCACAACCGTCACTAGTATCAACCCAATGATCCCGCCTAGAATAATCGCTGCTATTTACTCGAAAATACCCGAGGGTATTTCCCCTGAGCTGCAACAGCAGTGGGTGGAGCAGCAGCAGCAGTCTTACTTGCTGCACCAGCAGCAGAAGCAGCAGCGACGGCAGCAGCAGGAGGAGCAACGGCAGCAGCAGGAGAGGGAAAGGAAGTTACAGGAAGAAATAATGCAACAGCGGAGAGCAGAGGAGAGGGAGAGGGAGAGGGAGAGGGAAATGGAGAGGGAAAGGGAGAGGGAGCGGGAGAGGGAAATGGAGAGGGAGAGGAGGGAGAGGGAAAGGGAGAGGGAGCGGGAGAGAAGGGAGAGGGAGAGGGAGCGGGAAAGGGAGCAGGAGAGGGAGAGGGAGAGGGAGATGGAAAGGGAGAGGAAGAGGGAAGCAGAGAGGGAGAGGGAGAGGGAGATGGAAAGGGAGAGGAAGAGGGAAGCAGAGAGGGAGAGGGAAAGGGAGATGGAAAGGGAGAGGAAGAGGGAAGCAGAGAGGGAGAGGGAGAGGCGGAGGAAGCAGAAGCAGGAGCAGAAGCCACTAGCAGTGGTGATGCTGATGCAGTCCATGGGAGCACGCAAGAAGAACGAGAGCAGGGAAGGAGGAAGGGCGGGAGGAGGTGGGGGAGCAGCGATGGGAGCAGACGGATGGGATGGATCTCCTTCTGCCCGTCAACGTGGCCAGTGCAGGGACTCGGATTATGTAAGACTCTGCTTCTTTTCATCTCTCGACTTCTTTTGTGTTTGAGCTTCTTGGTTTTAATCTCAAAGGAATGATCCTAGAGGCAAGTAGGTTGGCCTTGAAAAGGTCCTCTGTTTGACGCTGATGGTTCTTGGCAGGTTCCTTGAAAGTTCGCTGCACCTTCTCTTCAGCTTCCCTGGTTCTGCAGCTTCTCTGAAGCACACAGCATAGAAGTGGGCAGGAAGAGGGAAAGCTGACTCAAGAGGCACTCAAATGTCACTTTTGACAAAGGGAAGCAAGAGAGGAGGAGGGGGTGTTGATCAGGCCGCACAATGGAAGGAGTATTCCCCCATTCCCCCTGGGTCTCAATGCCCTCATTAACCCTGCCTTCTTTCGAGGTGACTTTTGAGTCAATTCAAAAGTCACTTTGAGTCGACTCAAGAGAGGAGAGAGTGTTGATCAGGCCGCGCAATGGAAGGAGTATCCCCCCATTCCCCCTGGGTCTCAATTCCTTCATTTTACCCCTGCAATCTTTCACCCCTGGCAGCTACACCATTCCCCCCATGCAGGTTGCCTGCTGTGCAAGCCTCTGCGGCGCTCCCAGTCCCAGGCACTGGGGCAGCTCGAGGGAAGCGCAGCAGCCCAGGCAATAGGGATATTGCGGACGTGGCAGGCAGGACATGGCGGCACGCCCACCCCACACACACTGCTGCTGCTGCTGCTTCTGCTGCTGCTGCCACCAGTTCCCCCATTCCCCTGTATCCCAATCTCCCCATTCCCCTGTGTCCCATTTCCCCCATGCCCCTCTGCCCGCCCTCAGGTTCCTTGCCACTCAAGCCTCTGTGGTGCTCCCAGCCGCCGGGGCAGCTCGAGGGAAGCGCAGCAGGCCAGACATGCAGGATATGGCGGCAGCACGGCAGCATATGGCGGCGGCACGGCAGGGCATGGCGGCAGCACGGCAGCACAGAGGGCGGTGCTGCTGAGGCAACAGTCAGAATCTGATTTGCTGCGGCAGCACATGCAGCAGCAGCAGGAGTTGCATCAGCAAATGCAGCAGCAGCAACAATTGCACCAACAACAGGTGTTACAGCAACAGATGGAGCAGCGGCAAATGCAGCAACAGCACATGCAGCAGCAGCAAACGCAGGAGCAACATCAGCAAATGCAGCAGCAAATGCCACAGCAGCACATGGTGTTACAGGGGCAAACGCCACAGCACGTGTTACACATGCAGCCGCAACAGCTGTTACCACAACCACAGGTGCTACACCCAACCCAACAGTTATCACAACATCAAGTGTTACACCAAACTCAGCGGTTACTGCAACAGCAACCAGCCTATGAGGTCTCACAGATGCATCATCCTCAGATGTTGCCACACCATGGCATACCCAATTATGGGCTCCCGCAATACCAGTCGTTGCATTTAACTGGCGACAGCTGGGCCAGATAAACATATGGTGGCAGCAGACAGCCTATGAGGTCTCACAGGTGCATCATCCTCATGCAAAGGTATATGGCAGTATGAGCTACCTCAATACCAGTAATTGCATGTACCTGGCAACTGCTGGGCCAGATCAAGCTACACGTACCTGCACCTGTGCCTTGGTGCTCTGTTTCTCTTTGTTGTTTTGTACATGTGTATTCGTCGATGTACTATACAAATAACATCATATTATAGTAATGAGCATACAACAGTACCCCAAATCATGGATCCCTGCCCCGAATGTGCTGCACCAATATTCGCCTCAAAGTTCAGTAACATGACTCGAGGCATCATCTTATACTATATCTAGGGGAACTGTCAGTGCACTTGGGATTAGCAACAAAACATAATGATTCGCCAGGCACCAGGATAGTGTAAGCTACGGTAATATCAGCTTGCCATTCCATGTCTTTCAAGACGCAGCCCATCGCCCCCACACTTGCCCTTGCATCAGCCGGAAGCAGCAAGGAGAATGGGAAGTGGAGGGAATGGCTCATTAGTGTGAAGGACAGTACAGGTACATGGATGGGGTGGGGAGTAGGAGGGAAGCAGTACGGATGAGAAAGGAGGAGTCAGAAGCCCTGGCAGGCAGGTGAAATAAGGCTCTAGGGTGACACAATATCTATGCAAGAACTTGTTCCCCACATCGAATTAAGGTTATCAGACAGCATAATGGCATGCCCCCCATGGCAACATAAAGGTGATGACGACTCATCCTATAGTTACCAGTTGTCGCCATCTTTTATACTTTCACCTTTATGGGTCAACATGACTCCAATGTGCCTTGCACATGCTGCAACCGTCTGTCAGTTGTTAGAAGAGCGACCATAATGCATGTCACACATGCACTCCCTGCATGTCACACATACGCATTCTGCATGGCACACACGCACTCCCCGCATATCACACTCCCTGCTTGTCGCACATACGCTTTCTGCATGTCGCACATACACTCCCTGCATGTCACACATGCAGTATTCTTTGCCAGATGCAGAGAGTGCTGTCAGCATGCTGACACACATGCAGAGCGTGCATGGCGTGCATGGCGTGCATGGAGTGCAGAGCGTGGTGTCAGCATGCTGAATCCGCTCCTCTTGACATGCAGGGTGTGGGGGAGGGAGGAGATGACGCGCCTTCAACATTGTTTGTCTTGAGGTGAAACAAATAACAACAAAGAAAGAAGCAGCAGCGACCCGAGGTTCAGGAACATACCATTACTCGTTATGTTCGCAATGTCAAGTTGAGGGTGTGGGTGCAAGAAAGGAGAGAGGGATGAGGGAGGGACGATTAGAAGGCGGGCGTGGGAAGGGGAGGCAGAAGCCAAAGGCGAGTTTGCACAGACAGTTTCGGTTCCAACCTCCCACCCCACTCCACCCAACCCCACCCAAGCCTCCCCCCATCCCCCACTCCCCATCCCCCTGTCCCTCCCAGGCAGCCATTGGGGGTGACCTGCAGGGCAGTGCGGTTGGCATTGGTGCGGATGGGTGCAGCTAGGTTCTCGAGGACCTTGTCGTGCGTGAGCATCTCGCGCAGCACCTCGCGCAGCACCTCGCGCAGCCCCGGCAGCAGCTGCCGCGATGTGATGCCGACCGCACTGCCACGAACGACGAGCTCCGCTCCGCCTTGCGCGGGCCTTGCACCGCCAGCTCCGACGACTTTGAGAAGAGGGGTGAAGAGCTGCTGGCTGTCCACAGTGCGCACGGGGGGAAGAGGGGTGAGGAGCGGAGGAGAGGAGCGCGGGAGGGCGGGGAGGGAGGGGGGAGGGCGAGGAGGGACGGGAGGGATGGAGGGGAGAGACATGCTGAGTTGTTGAACGTGCTGTCAGCATGCTGAATCCACTCCTCTTGAAACGAGCCATTGAAGAGACATTAACCATGAACGATCCAGAAAACACGTTAGATTCCCCAAAAAAAAAGGTAGATTCGATTCGAAAAAAAGGAAGATTCGATTCGCAAGCTTCCCTTGGCGAGATAAGGCGAGATAGATAAACAACCCACCACGCGTTCCCAGCTGTTGCTTGTGCTGAAACGTGCCGCAGAAAGCGCTAAGAACCTATCTCCATAAGTTCACTGCGTGGCAATCGCTCATGCTCCTACGGTTTGTGCGTCGACAGAAACCTTTGTCGCATGGATCGTAACGCCCATGGGAGATACTTCCGCTACTTCCATATACTCGTGAAGGATTTCAGATCGTTTTTTAGAAAGACATTGCTCGTGAAGGATTTCAGATTTATCTCATAACATAACTCCAGCAATATATCGCTCGTGAAGGATTTCGGGGTCTAGTGCAGAGATCGTAGCTAGAAAGACATTGCTCGTGAAGGATTTTAGAGTTATCTTCAGAGCACAGCTCGAGCATATTGCTCGTGAAGGATTTCAGAGTCTAGTACTAGTGCGGTGAGGGAAGTTTGATTCTTTTTATTAACCGTACATGAACGAGAAGCGAATCACAACTAGAAACTACAACTAGCTACAACTTGAGGTACGAATGTCCATCTTCTGCTTGCTCCACTTGGTCTTGACTATCCTGAAGTGGCCCAGCTAGTTAGCTGCTTCACCTCCGAAGGATGAGGTCCCGGGATCAATTCTCCCCAACAGCATAAGTTACCAGACCGAAGGGGACTACACAGGTGCTCATCTGTGAGTGGATAGGTCAACCTCGATGCCCGATGATGCTCGTAAATACATGGGGAGGCGGATTACGACCAATAGCCGGGGTCATACCAAACGGGGTTTCCCCTTAAACTTTACTTTCCACTTGGTCTTGACTTCTTGAGTCTTGGGTCTTGAGGCCGTTCTTTGGTCTTCACCCCTCTTGGCCGCTAGAGGCAAAGCCTCTAGCGTTACACCCGGGAACCGCGTTAAGGTGGGGGTCTATCGCTCGGACACCGGTTTTGGAGGGTAGGAGGGTGGGGAGGGAAGAAAGGAATGAAAACATTTTGGGGAGGGAAATTATGAAATGTACTGCCACGGGCAGAAAGCCACCAAAGGTCTCTGGATGTCAGATGTCAGGCGGGAATCCTCGAGTCGCGCTTATGTCAGATGACCTGCAGCTTACCTGACACACAATACCAAGCTCATCTCGCAGCTCACCCACCCCATCGAACCCACTCCTTCGGACCCACCCCATCGGACTTACCCCATCGGCTTGTCCGCGGAGGTGTCGCGGACAATAGCCAAGCACCCCCAGACACGAAACCGCGACGCAACACCAGGGGACCCTGTCCAAAGACTGGTCGGTGAAACCTCTGGTCGAGAGACACGTGGCCAGAGGTTCAGCTGGTGCGCGGCGTACCTGACCGCGTAGGGCCACAGAAAATGGGGGGCACAGGCGTGAGTCAGGGAGGTGCGGGCGATCTCCATGACCAGGCCTATGCGGCGCTCAACAACCCCATTCTGCTGTGGGGACTCTGGAAGCGTCCAGGACTAACGAATGCCCTGCTCGCGACAGAATCCAGCGAGAATGCCGGAGCGAAACTCACCCCCACGGTCGGAGTGGAGGCAGCTGACACGACGACCACGAGTGTCCTCGGTGGTGAGCAACCACCTGATCAGCGTAGAAGTCACCTCAGACTTCTTCGCCAGAGGGAACACTGTGGTGTAGCGGGAGAAGTCGTCAACGACCACCAGAAAGTAGCGCTCACGCTCAGGGCCTAGACGAGGGGCGGGGCCCCAGACGTCCAAGTGAAGCGTCTCAAAAGGCTCGGTGGCCGGACGAAGGGAGGAGGAGTGAGGGGCGGCGCGCAGCCGACCCTCGACGCAGGGACCACACGGCGGCGCAAGCGAAGGCGGCAGCGACGGCAAGACACGTGGGAGGCCTAGGACAAGACGCTGACTAGACATAGCGTGCAGACGAGGAAGGGACGGGTGCCCCATCCGGTGGTGCCACAGAACGGTGGGGTGGGCAAGCGACCGGCAGGAGCACGACGCAGCGACTGGAGCAGACGTAGGAACCTGACACGACACAGACACCTGGGGGGACGAAGCAACCTGGTGAGACGCGGGGACCCGAACGGGGGGGGGAACCGGGGGCAGTGGCAGTAGGGGCGGCTGCTGGTGCGACCGCTGGTGCAGCTGCTGCTGCGGCGCACGCGGGCCAGTGCGAAGAGTGTAGAGACCTGAGCCCGGCTCAGCAGTAAAGGTAGCAAGAGGCTGGTAAGAGTCTCCGTCAACACACACCGCAGTCTCTCCAGAAGGCTCAAACCACACACCCACGTGCTGACTCACGAGGGGTCGCACGCCCACCAAGTTCCGGGAGAACGAGGGGACGTGAAACCCAGTAAGAGACCCGGAGGGAGCAGCAGGACACGGTAAAGTGGTAGTGTGACGTGGAGTGACTGGTCCCGTAGTGGGATCAGCCAAAGCCACAGAAACAGGCGCAGGAAGTGGTGTAAGTGTCGTGCTGTCCCGGAAGAAGTAGTGTGAGGCTCCAGAGTCCAGCGTGAACGACAGCGAAGCGTCCTCTGAGGTAGTCGCTGGTCTAGAGTCTACACAAGAACCTACACTAGCAACAGGCAACTGAGCAAGACTAGCACCTAAGCTAACAACACCAGAGTAAACAGAGTCAGAAACACTAGAGTCAACAACAACATACATAGCATGAGGAGCACCAATCAGATCAACTAACTGCTCAGCAGACATGCCCCACAGAGCGGAGCCGTAGCGCTGAACCAGAGGAAGCCAGTCAAGAGCAGGACCGCCAACCCCGTAGGCCAACCGGACCGTGTCAGTGAGCTGAGCAAAGCACTGACCAGGGGGGTGAAAACGGCCACAAGGGTGGCCCCGACGAGGACCTGTCAGAACCTGATAGGTGCAGGGAGGGTAAGAAGCACCGCGCTGGGTTTGACGCAGCCCCGACCTCGGAGCCAGCTGCTGACGCTGCTGCTGCTGAGGCTGGCGGGAGGAAAGGGGCTGCTGCTGCTGCTGAAGGTGCTGCTGACGCTGAGCCTGGTACCACGCCGCTGCTCCACCTAGCGGGGTCGGTAGTACAGGAGGCGACTGACGAGCTCGGGGGTCGCCGCCACCAGCAGGCGCAGTGGAGTCACCAACCGCTGCACGAGGGGTCTCTCCAGACGCTGCACTCCCACCACCGCCAGTCGCAACAGCACCCCCACTACCTCCGCTACCTCCACCTCCACCTCCACCAGAACTACCTTTCTTGCCCCCCTTGCCGCGGGACCGCGACGCAGTCGTAACAGCAGCCGCAGTCGCGTCAGTAGCGGCAGTGGCGAGAGAGGCAGTGAAGGTGGGTAACTGCGGGACTGTGCACCCGTGGAAGAGTGGGGGGGACACAGTACCAGAGGCGGCAGCTACCGAGCGAAGGTTGCTCTCGAGGTCCTTGAGTGCAGACTCAAGGACCTCGATAGTCAGCTCACTAGGGTGCTTCAGCAGAAGCGCGTCACGAACGGAGGCTAGGCGGTCAGGGAGGCTAGTGGCGATGAAATAGACAGTAATCGCCATGGGGGGAGGAAGCAGTGCAAGCTGTGCCTCAGTGCAAGCAGCGCGGTAACTAGCGTCGAGCGAGCGGAGGTGAGCGATCAAGTCAGCAGAGCGCTCAAACGAGGCGAGATCAGGAAACAGGAACGGGAGGAAAAGACGGCCAAGAGAGACAGTAGCGGGAGTAGAGTAGCGGGCCTTAATCGCAGTGAGGTACGCAGCAGCGGTGCGAACTTGAGTAAAGTGGACCTCCTCTGACTCAGGGAGGAGGCTACTGAGTGCGATGCAGGCCGCAGCGTCACGCGACGTCCAAGCCGTCCGGTCAGCGCGCTGACGGGCAAAGCGAGCCGTAGCAGCGTCGTCAGGGGCAGAGCCTAAAGCTGTAGGCTCGGGGGGCTCGGGGAGGTCACCAGTAGCGTGCGACCAGAGGGTCTCGCCCCCCTGGACCTGACTCTCTAACAGACGGCGAGCGCGAAGAAGACAGACGGAAAAGTCAAGTGGTCTACCGTCAGCGTCGAAACGAAGAACTCGCGGAGTCGCCATAGTGAGAACTAACGCGAACGAACAGGCGAGTAACAACCGGGGAGAAGAGGCAAATTAGGGTTCAGGTGGGAAGGGGACTCAGTCGCAGCGGAAGAGCGGGCTAGGGCGACGGGCCAGGGCGTAGGGTAGGGCGACGGGCTAGGGCGTAGGGTAGGGCGACGGGCCAGGGCGTAGGGTAGGGCGACGGGCCAGGGCGTAGGGTAGGGCGACGGGCCAGGGCGTAGGGTAGGGCGACGGGCCAGGGCGTAGGGTAGGGCGACGGGCCAGGGCGTAGGGTAGGGCGACGGGCCAGGGCGTAGGGTAGGGCGACGGGCCAGGGCGTAGGGTAGGGCGACGGGCCAGGGCGTAGGGTAGGGCGACGGGCCAGGGCGTAGGGACGGGACAGGGCGACGCGACGGGGCAGGGCGGCGCGATGGGGCAGGGTGACGGGACGGGGCAGGGCGACGCGACGGGGCAGGGCGACGCGACGGGGCAGGGTGACGGGACGGGGCAGGGCGACGCGATGGGGCAGGGCGACGGGACGGGGCAGGGCGACGCGACGGGACAGGTCGACGGGACGGGGGGGAAAGGGCGGGCACGACGTGACGGGGGGAACGGGCGCGACGCGACGGGGGGAAAGAGCGCTAGGCGACGGGGGGAAAGGGCGCGACACGACGGGGGGGGGGGGGGGGGGGGGGGGGGGGGGGAAAGGGCGCTAGGCGACGGGGAGAAAGGGCGCTAAGCGACGGGGGAGAGGGCGCTAGGCTCGGTAACAACGGAACCGGTACGAACGAGAGGTAGGATCAGGCTCGGGAGGGACGAACGGAGAACGGAGGAACGGGATCCCACAGGATCCTAACCTAGCTGATACCATGTCAAAATGAGGAATGATGATGCCATTGATGTTGGTTGGGGTACATATAACAAACCCTAACTTCTGTACCCCCTAAGACAAACCTCACTACAGGCTACAACATTTGACACGGACCCACCCCATCAGACCCACCCCATCGTTAACCAACCCAACCGCGGCATACCGTGCCGGGCTTTTCGCTCCTATCGAGTCTGTTTCGTGTCGTCCGTCGGTTCTACGCGAGTCTGTCTATTCTAACGTCGTTGGCGAGTTCGAGCCGACCACCGTACTCGTTGTCTATCTACCTGACACGGGAAACTGGAAGAAGAGAGGGAGAAAAAATGCGTGAAGTGATGACGTGTGCGACTTCGCGGCACAAGCGATGATGGCGTCCGCGACATCGTGCCTCCCTTGCCGGCCTGCACCTTAGAGAAACGAGAGTACACATGGGCGGTGTTCGCCAGCACATGCAGACTTGGAAAAAAAATGACGGCATCGGAATGGCCACGGCATCGGGAAGCGGGGCCAGAACCCCCCGAAGAGGTTTAGGGCGAAATGCCACTCGCGAAATTTCGGGCACAAAAATGGGAAACGTGACAACCGCATATGGAACCTGCCTCCCCACCTTCCCACCTTACCCTCTGACAGCCAGTGACATCACCATCCCACGGCAATCCACCGTGAAATGGTGGATTGCCAGGGGATGGCATTGGACTCTCGCTTTGCCCGGGGAGGAAATCACTTCCCCATTTCCGAATGCCATGATGATGTCCGAAATTTGAGAAAAGTGAGGGCGTTTGCCAGGCGCCAAAGTTCCATTTGGTTTGGACGGCATGAGAGGCTCGGCAACATTTTTACGGGCTGACCAGCCTGACGGAGCTTAACGAACCCTAACTGACGGGATCAGGAAGGCGAGACTGACATTCCTGATCCCGTCGTTTTTCGTTGTTTTTGCTTTCAAAGGTGCTTGCGAACACTGCCATGATGCCCAACCCCTGCACGCGAAATTGCCTTGCACATTCCAGAAACCTTGCCAGCGTGGGTTTTTTGCCGGGCAGTTGCACCCACGTTACAAGCACGTCAGCCAATACGAACCACAGAAACTGAAGAGATCGAAGTCAAACAGTCAACGGTGAGTTACAAAATTTGTTATAAGCCCTTTTAGCCCGACGCGAATAGACAAACCTCCACGAAATGCAAGAATCACGTATAAGCCTAGGGGGTAGGGCAGGTCGGGGGGCTCAACCGGGCATCGTGGGTAGTTATTATACGATAAAAAAAGTTGAAATCAATTAAGCGAAAGAAACAACTTGCATAAACAAGCGAAAATCGAGTAAAAGCGGAGTAATAAAGCGAAACTTAGGGGGTGTTACTAATGCAAGGGGGCACCATTTTAGAGGGATCACTTCCAAAAGTGGTCCCGCTTGGTACCGGGGATCATTTGCGGCGGATCAGCTATGCACAGTGCATTGCAGCTTCGAAAACGACGTGTTGACTAAAACAGAAGTGTACCTAGTCAAGATGTCGCAGACAGCAGATACTTTTGGCGAAAAAATCAAAACGCAATTTTCACATGCGATTCCCATCGCCTTGGGTCGCTCTGGAAATGGTCCTGCGTGTCGAGCATCGTTTTCGTACGTGCGCCTCGAACTGTACATGCTGGTCCGTGGGCGGGTGCAAGTCGGGTCCACACCTGGGCCGTTCGCTGGTCCATGCTGGTCCGTGCTGGTCCATGCAAATGCCCCTGGGCCGCAGCGGCCCAGCACGGCCCAGCATAGGTCTTGCGCACATGGCACACCCCCTTACAAACACTCTTGAGCTCCAAGCTCCTATCCTGAAAGGGACAGAGGAAGAAGAGAAAAGAAAAAGGGGAAAGGTGATAGGCCGCGTCCGCGCCTTGTGAACCTGCAACTTGGAAGAAGCGGCGATGGTTAGTATAGAGAATAGAAACGAAAAGAATAAAGCGAATGAAACAACTGAGAAAACTGAAACGAGGATGAATGAACTATGAATGAAGTGGGTACAAGTACCA